AAAAAAAAAGAGAGAAAGAAAGAGATAGTGAAAGTGAGGGAGAGGGGCAAAGGGAGAGAGAGAGAGAGGGAGAGAATCTCAAGCAAGCTCCATGCTTAGCGTGGAGCCTAACGTGTGGCTCCGTCCCATGAACCGGAGACCATGACCTGAGCCGAAATCAAGAGCTGGATGCTTGACCAACTGAGCCCCCGGGCACCCCCAACACCACCTTTTTGAAGACTCCAGGCCAGTGGCTTTATAGACTGTCTTTCGGGGAGTATTGTGCATTGGCTCGTGGTGTGGTTCGATTCTGCTAAATGCTCTTGGCAGGAAAACCACTTGGGAGACGCTTGTGGCCTCAGGGCGCCTGTCGAGAGAATGGTGACAGATGAGTCTGGGTGGTGTCGCCTGTGTGTGTCTCCGTGGCTCCCCTCCCCCGCAGCCCGCACAGAGTCCCCGCGGCCGTGGGAGCCTCTCATGGGCAGCGATCTCCGAAAACCCTCCCCCCCCCTTACAAGTAGAATCCTAGCGGTCATCTGACCTGATGCGCCTGTTTAAGATTTTTCTGGAACAGTTCATCGAATCCTAAAGTAAGGGATTCGTGTTGGTTTTCAGGTCCTGAGTCCTCTGAGATAGTGTTTGGACGCTGCAGAGTCAGGGAGGAAGGGCTCTCGAGGCAAACCTTTCATGCGGCGCCCTCTTCCCGCTGCCTGGGGAGCCCTGTCAGGCCGCTGATAGAAGGAAGGTGACCCCATGTGCGCCCTTGGGAAGGATTCTCTGCTTTGTCTCTCCAGGCGTCCGCCGCTGACCCTGGACGAGAGAGCGAGGGGGACACGGGCCTCCGGCTTGGGGCGCAGGGAAGATGGGTCCCAGCGCCCTGACCACCTGCCTGCCGCGCTCCGGCCGGAGTTCCGAGCTCAGCGGGTCGCAGCAGTGAGCCAGCCGCGGTCCTCCGTCGCTCAGTCGGTGGCTGGGGCATGACCCTCCACGCCCCGACCGAGGGGGACCGGCTTGTAACACCTGGAACCCTGAGCGTTTGGGGATGACCAGGCCCCGCGTGGCCAGCACACGTGTGCGGGCGGAAGGCAGCCTCCCGGGCGCCCTGTGGCGGGGGCGGGGAACCAGGGGGCTCCGCTGGGGACCTGCTTCTACAGAAGGCGACTCCCTTCCTGAAGACCCGACACGGGACAGACCTGGTTGGGGCCTCCAGCTGGCAGCACGGAGATGCCTGAAAAACAGGCCAAAATGGAATGAGAGTCCGAGGACAGGCATGGCAGCCGCCGGAGTGTCCTGGTAAGCTGGCCTGACAGTGGCCACGGAGCCCAAGTAGGACAGCATCCCGGGACCGGCGTCCTGGCTGTCCCATGCCCCCCCTCCCCCGAGGCCCACGTGGCCCTGCTGGCCCTGAGTCCCCAGCCTTTCCCCCGCTCCCCGTGGGTGGAGCCCGGCCCTGAGTTCTCTGTGCAGGTGCGCCTGAAGCTCACTGAAGAGGCAGTGAGGGGGGTCTGCTCAGGCGCAGCCCCCAGGCCTGGGTCTTCCCCTGGTCAGTCCCTGACCGCTCCCCGCCCGGAGGGGCCTTTGGAGCTGGAGACATCTTGGCAAAACCAGCTTCTTTGCTTTGCCAGTCGGGCTCTGCCTGCCCACGGCGCTCACGGGGAGCCTCGGGGTCCTCGCCGCGGTCCGCGTGGCCACACTAGGGAACAGAGGCCAGGCCGGGGGCTGCTTCGTGGCTGGGACAGTGGGAGGACCCCCAG